TCGAGGTTTTAAAACCAGTAGAGTCCTTATTATAAATGATCATAATTGAATTTGCCGTGTGCAAAACGTTGTCATGGGCAGCCATTCACGGTCACTGGCATAATGGCTGTGCCGTGGTAATACGTCAGAGTTTCATTCATAAGAGTTTGCCGTGTGCAAAAGCTATTAAACCTTGTTCAGGGAAAGCTTTAATTAAATATTCATGTTCCAAAATTCTGGCTTCATTTTTTTTTTAAATTTGCTCTAAATAACTGTAATATTTTTTTTTAAAAAAGTATTTGCTATTTTGTTTACTGAAGTACCTGCATTTATTAACGCACATCATGTACATAAAGAAATTTCAAGCACATGTCAATATATTGCCGCCATATTGGTTTTCGGTTATTGGATCATCGGTTATCTCGACGCTTTCTGGAAAACCCCGAGGCCGTCGGCATAACCGAGTTCTACTGTAAATAGTTTCACGGGGATGATGAGCACGTGATATGAGTTTCTGAGTAAGAGCCAACAAATTCTCAGGGAACTGTGTTAGTGTTATGATGGTGTCCTTACTTTAACATAAAAAGCGTGCATTAAATTGAGGGGTTTAGATGGCGCGGATCCTATAGAACAGTGGTTCTCAACCTTTCTAATGCCGCGACCCCTTAAAACAGCTCCTCGTGTTGTGGCGACCCCCAACCACACAATTATTTTCGTTGCTACTTCATAACTGTAGAATATATGTGTTTTCCGATGGTCTTAGGCGACCCCTGGGAAAGGGTCATGCGACCCCCCCCCCCAAAGGGGTCGCGACCCACACGTTGAGAACCGCTGCTATAGAACAACCTTAAAAAGTACCACGTAGGTGAAAATTAATGCCATTTTAGCTTTACTTTTGTAGGTGAAGCGGTAGCTATTTTATTTTTTTTTAAACTCTCTTTATTATTTCTCGATACCTTTAGCATGCGCGTCCTCATCTATTGAGTATCTCTTTCCTGTATATTTTTTATCACTTGCAATCATTTTTTAATTACATACGGTAATTTTATGATCTTTTGTTTTAAATTTATGTATACGGTATATACAACTCGACGACTTATTGTAAGCGCTGGCGCCCTCTTATGCTCTGGCAATAAAGCGATGGTTTCACAATTTTTTGGGCCACCCTGTTATATATATTTATAGTTCACATATATTTTGCCGCGGCGATTAAAGTTTTCTTTTGTTTACAGTTCACAATAGGTCACATCACGATGAAGTTCACAGTTTCAACCGAAATGTCATCTGCCCCTCTCGTGGAGAGAGCGAGCCACCAAAAAACTCAAGGGTATATCATTCCTCCACACCAGATCGCCATTTCCCGCCCAAAACATCCAATCCCGTCTGCATCCACTTTTGGCTGCCATCTTGACCCGTCTGCCACGTCTAAATCTGTTGTTGTCAAGATGGCGTTCACGCGGGAATGGTTCGTGAGCTGTACCGCAGCAAATGTCACGTGTAAGAGTTGTCTCATGGGCAGACGGCTTACTTGAACCCTCGCCATACTACCCAGTTTAAAAAAAAAGATTCTTTGCCGGGGGCGTAACCCAGAGTGGGGTTCATTACAACCACCCCACCATTCAAAATGCACACAAATTCATCAAGTTTTTATTGCCCTACTCTTCTAGAGCGGAACAAAAATATATTTCTTAAAAAATTTGAACATGACTTCTTGATCTTCTCTTTTATCCCAAATAAATTGCTTCGTTCTCGTTTGTCATTGCCCACAGTTAAAGTTTTAAGAGGAGCCTGACATTCATAACAGGTTAAAGAACAAATGTTTAACCAGTATAACGGTGACGCCCCTGGAATAAGGTAATAACATGTGTTTAGTCAAGATACCAAGCTGATTGGTTGAGAGCGGGATGACTGAGGTTCTTATATGATAAATGGCAACAAAAAAAGCTGGGGAGGGGGGGGGGGGTGTCAATTCGTTATCGTTAAAATAAAATAAGCGTATTTTCTTCCTTTCTCTTTTTATGTGTTTAAAGCTTATAAAATGATAACATTAAGACGTATGGTTATAGGAAAGTTCGCACTTCTCGTCGTGAGTACAGTCTTTCCAATGTTAAGTTTTCCCCGAGAGTTATTTCATGCCAGGTTGCAAGTAAGGAGTCCAAGTTGCCAGTTCAAGTTGCTGTATTTTTTTTAATCACGAAAAGTAGTGTGACGCCTTGGTATGATGGTAAGACAAACTTTTGATTGCAACATAAACTAATTTTCATTTGTTTAAAAAGGAATTATTGTTTAATACATGTGCGTAGTTTACTATTTAATGTGTAATGCAGAAGAAAGCAAAATAATAACATAGGCGGCCTACCCGGTGTACAAAATACTCACGTTGATTGAAGACGTATATACATTTGTAACAGTAGTTCACACACACGCACACACCCACTCCACCCCACTTACGAGAACACGGCGTATGAAGGGGGCTAGTATAAAAAGTACTTTAGTAACTTAATTTTTAATGAGGTGAGACTTGAGACCAGACATTATGATTCAATTACCCTCCTGCATCAATCATGAAGATACGGTGAATGTGTGCTTGATGGATATGAACCAGGTAGAAATAATACATGTAAAGTTTCTTTATTTAAACTCCACATACATTTTATGCTATTTTTCTCAAAACTGACTTGAAAGTGAAGTTTATTTTTCTACTTTAACCTGCATAATTGACATATATTTCTGAATTAGCATATGCTGCTGCAAACATGTAATAGTCATTGGGGATATGCCTTTTGATTTTTTACCCATATTTTAAAACGGGATTAGTATTTATTACTAATATAATTAGTAATATAATTGATGAAGAAATTAATTTTAATTTTACACCCTTACCATATCAAATCGTCTAGCCGCTGTCCAATTCAATGTGCTGCTCATGTCGCCATTTGTTTGCATTTAGCGTGCACCTATATCGAAACTCTTTATTACAGTACCCTTATTAGGTACTAAAAAAAAAATACAATTATAAATGTTGATACCATTTCAATGTTGATGTTAATACCAGCATTGAAAAGGACTCCAAAACCAAGATACATGAAGATAAATAGATATAAAATAACAAAAACTCGTGCAGAAGGACACAAGTACAGACAAAGACCAGTCCATTTACTTAAATCGTAATCGTGAGTTTCATTGGCGTAGCTAGGGCTAGTGCCGCACCCGGGGGGGGGGGGGGGGGGAATTAAAGCAGAGACCCGTGCAACCTTTAGCAACGCAATGACATTGCTGCTTAATTAATTGAAAATTTCACCCTTACCGATGGGCCCTGCCACGGGTTAATAAGACACTGCAGTGGTCACTTTGTTGACACACAACGCCTTCTTGGTCTCCTGGTTAATTTAAATCAGTACCCTGAATTAACAAGTTTTCCAAAACGGGAAGGCTGTAAACATCGTCAAGCCACAGGCTAGTCATTGAATTATTGACTGTTACGTTGGACAGATAAGATGTATAATGTCAATAGGCACTGCTCCACCATTCATTAATTTAATGCCTTACACCTAAGCCTATATTCCCGCACAGCTTTTGATACTATTATCCGACATGGTCACGTGGTTTAATATGACGGGTCGTCATTAATAATTGCTTCGACTCCCATTATTAATGCAAAATTCTAAACAACAAAACTTGAGAATACAAATGGAGGGAAATTCAGGATCACTTATAGTAAGAGAGTATTTTAGATTGATTCCATAATATGGTAATACGATACAGAAAAACTGAATTAATTTGTTTTTATTCTTGACTCTCGCTGGTGTATTACTGCATGAAAATAGAGCCGTGGCGGATACATCTGATGGGCTCATATGCTCCCTTCTGTTGAAACGGGATGAGATCTGGGATGGCTTGTTTTGTTCAGTATCCCTAAGATGCATGGTCATCGAGCATACCAGATAACCTCCATCCTGTCTCGCCTATATGACAGGAGCGACATCTTCGGCAAACCATCACGTAGATGAACATTTCGACTAATACACGCGAAGCCCGCTTTGATGGTACAGGCCCCTTTAGTGAAGCCAATATGTTTAGTTTCCAGAACATGGGGGGCAAGTCATACAACGGCTTCTTGAGGATGGTTTAGTCCCAACGTGAGAAGGGTCAGCTCGAAGACGACTGTTAACCAGAAAGTCACATTATTTTGTTTGATCCCGTCTGTATACAAAAAGTGGAGGGGATGATGGTACCAGTTTTGTGTCAGGCTCAGCAAGGAGTATATGACGATTATTCAAGAATATATATATATATATATATATATATATATATAGATATATTTGCAATCACCTTGTCAGAGTGGTAAGAAAGGATGTTTTTTGTTGCATCCTCAATTTTGTTTGAACGAGATTTATAAGTTAAGTTTCATGACGTGTGATTGTGCTTTCACGATGAATTGCCGAAATAAGGGCACACTCGGGATAAGATCTGGAGCGGAAGAAGTCCATCATGTTATTTTCATTTACCCTAACAAGTCTTCATGTGACTGGCCGCGGCGACGACGTAGTTTAAGAAGTTGGGAGAAGGTTGTGGAGTTTTTGCACGATTAGTGGGGCGGGGAGATGACTACCATAAATAACTCTAATGGCTGTCAGTTGGTTTGTATGTAGGCAGAGGAGAATAATCCGTCCTCTTTCAAGATATGGGTCATGTCCAGAAAGTTGACAGAGTTCTCCGAGATTTGGGAAGTAACTTTAACCAGATGGGTGGGAGGATTTTCGACAAGCAATTAAATTGTTGGGAGTTCACTTGTATCCATTGTATCCATGATGCCAATCCCATCACCAATGTATCATTTTGTAAAACTCTGTTATACGGCCTGTATGAACCCTCTCTACAAAGTATTCAGAGTGACCTATACAGAGGGTCGCTATAGAATGACTTAAACTGTAAAACATCTTCTTCTGCATCAACAGAACAGCTCTACAATGAACAAGCTGACACATTATGTGGGCAGCAGGCGACACCCCAAGCCACAGAATAACGCGGCCAGGGAACGATCTCGGGTCAAAACGCTAAGATCAGCTTTTCTAGAGTTACAACGAACACTTCCGGTAAGTCTTACAATATATTAAAAAGCCACGCCATTAAGTACAATACCGCCCCATGTTCCCTCTCATTTAGCCTGCGGGTAAGTGCGGCACTTAATTACAATACCGCCCCAATTTCCCTCTCATTTAGCCTGCGGGTAAGTGCGGCACTTAATGCGGCAATAAATTATTGGTGTGCAACATTTAAGGCATTGTGCCGAGGTTTGCTCAAAATAAAATAAGTACATTCTACTCATGGGCTAAGCCTACAAAGTGTATTGATATTGATAGGCAACATACAACATACGCCCCGCCAGCACACACTTTGCGCCCGCAAAGTGACGAAATATTATTGTTTATATTATTTTCTTAATCGCCCCCCCCCCCCCAAATCCTATTTTCTTTTGGTCCGCAAAAGTCCTGTCCTATTTTCTTTTAGCCTGCACAAGTTTTTCCTAAAGTATTACGCCACCCCCCCCATCCCCCATATTTTGAGATGTGCAGGCCTGCTATAGTATACTAAGCGTGTGTATATATATATATTTGACTGCGCGGTAACCAGTTAACAAAAGTGCCTTTGCCCCCTTTGTATGCCACTGGTGATAACATCTCCCATATGCCCCGGTTTCCATCCTTAAAATTGTGACAAACCTACATTATTATATTTATATACATCTACAATAGGTTTTTAAATACTCTATAAACCAGTTATGAAATCTATATACCGGTAGTGAAAATATTTTTTTTTTCCTTGGTTGAAATTTTAATTAACTGAATTTTCGGGGAAGAAAATGTATTAAATATAATTTTCAATTACTATTACAGTTAAATCCTTTAAAATAGGCGAGTGTAAAGGGGTTAATGAATTGTACTATTATACAAGGTAATACCCAAAATAAAACTCAGCTTTTTTTTGGCGATTTTCTTGTCTTAGGCTGTCCCACCAAACACCAAACTGTCCAAGTTGGATGTCCTGGTTCTGGCCACAGCTTATATTTACCACTTGACAAAGACGTTAGAAGGACAGGAAGACTCGGAGGAGCCACAGTTGACAGAAACAGACGGTGTATCAGCAAAAGGTGGATTCAAGCATGTTTCCGTCTCCAAGCTCGGACGGTCAAACAACGTGACACTCCACTCACCCTACACTCCACATGGACACCACACGTTGTCCTCTGCCCCCGGACATTGTGTCAGGATGAGGCGTGTCCAACTGAGCAGACGGACATCCGGTTCATATCACAACTCTGACCTTTTATTGGCTAAAGGCGGTCAAAGCAATGAGTTCGAGGCTCATCACGAACCAATCTTACCTCTCTTACCTCCAGAGCAGCAGCAGTTAGGAGAAACTGTACCATGGAGGATATCCAACATCGAGAGACAAAGAGACAGAAAATCTGTCAAAACACATGTTCCGCTGAATCAAGGCACAGTTGGAATTCTACATCCTGTGAAGGTAGATTGTTACCTCGTCATATAACTGAGTACAACTGTGATGTGATTGTGAAATAAGGAGTCTCACTTTATTTAGAGTGCAAGTCACAACCTAAGGTTGATTCTTCCAAAGATAAACTGACTGCTCCATGATATAAATAAAGTAAATGCTTTATGAGATAAAGTAGATGCCCCATGATATAAAGTAAATGCTTTATGAGATAAAGTAGATGCCCCATGATATAAAGTAAATGCTTTATTAGATAAAGTAGATGCCCATGATATAAAGTAAATGCTGTATGAGATAAAGTAGATGCCCCATGTTATAAAGTAAATGCTTTATGAGATAAAGTAGATGCCCCATGATATAAAGTAAATGTTCTATGAGATAAAGTAGATGCCCCATAACATAAAATAAATGTCCCACAAGATAAACTTGTCTGCCACGTTTCAACTTTTTAGGTACACTTTAGGGTAGGGGGGAGTAGGCCTTTAAAATAGTTAACAGCTGAGACAAACAATGCTAGTGTCATGCAGAATAAAAACAGTCAAAAAGAATCTATTCTTACAAATTATGATAAACAGTATTGTAGCAGACCATATATTCTCAAATGAAAATTATGAGTTTTCACCATTTGACACATTCAAGCATCAGATAAAAGCTAGAACTGTGTAGAAAAGAAAAGACAAAAGGTGAATTCAATGAAAATTAAAGTTTAATACTAAATGACTTTAAATAAATCAATGTATAAGTTATTGTGTATTAAATTTACTTACAGAAATGGCCCATGAGATCCAGGCTCTATGACAGCATACTAGGATGCAATTCCCAATGGTCAACACTATCAACCTCACCACCGACCTGTGCAATGCACATCAATGACCAGCTTTAAGAACAAACAGACCAGCTTTGAGAACAAATAGACCAGCTTTGAGAATAAACAGACCAGCTGGTGACCTGTAATGACTCGTCTTTACATACCGCTGAGCCTTTCTTAGTCACACATAATCTGCACACTCAAAAGATTTACACATAAATGACAAGTAGATGTAAAGAGCAATACTCTTGGTTTCAAATTATTTTCTCTACAATATTCACCCCCAGAAGTATGGAGGTGTTCAATAAATTATATATTACATGTAGGTGACTTGGTGATAGATCAGGGTGTTTCAGCATACTTCAATATTGCCATCAAGTTTCAACATGTTCAACCTCCCCAAGGCCACACTGATGTAAAGTGGTGCAATTCCATCAGGTCACAGATTATTTAGCGAGAATTCCTCCTTGGTTCAATTATATTTAACCCATTTTAGGCACAAGATGTTAAACATTTTCATGACCATGCATTCTGATCGAGAATAAATTTCTGTAGTACTTCCTGATAAAATGAAATAATACCCACCTTCATTTAAAATAGGATAATCTGATTCACTAATTTATTACATTGTTCAGCCCTGATAAATTAGCTCTGAGACAAATTTATTGTAATGCTTGGGAATAACTAATACCGATACATACCATGTGTACAGCATGCAAAAAATGTCTCAAATTAAACTCAAGGAAAATGTTTGAAAAACTTTAAATCAAGAGGCATAAGGACATAATGTTTTTAATATAATATCAAACAGTAACAATAATAATGTTATCACACTCAAATATTTATCAAGACAAAATTCACTTACTTTTAAATATTTTCTTGTTAAACATTGCTTTAGTTAAATTATTCCTATTTATAGCTTTAATTTCTTTTTTTAAAGGTCATGTGTCAAAAATGTTTATGAATCATAAATGCTCATTAGGATGGCCATTTTTATTCCAGACAACGTTTTTTAAAGGCATAAAATAAATATGACAAATTACAACATGCAAATAATATCAGAAGAAGGTAAAGTTTAACAAGAGCACCAGAGTGGTCTGATCGAATTTTACAGATTCCTGAAATGCATTTTTAACATTCAAAATAAAGCAGATAAATATTTATGTAGCTATCGCTCACAAAAGCCTCACATTGTTTCAGTTTTTTAAAAGGAAAGGATTCCCTGGGGCTCTGGATTTTCATAAAATTTCACCAAAAATTTAAATCTCATCATCAAAGTCCTCAATCACAACTTCATCTTCATCACCAGTAACCGATACATTTGTCTGGCTGTTGGAAATATTTTCATTGTCAGCATCATCAATGCTGTCAGCCTGAGCATGGTGGAGTAGTGATGGAAACATACGGGATTCCTCGCCTCCATCATCCTCCTGCATATCTTCTTCAAACACTACATCTTTTTCATTCAATCTCTCCAGTGTTGGTCTGATGAGGGTTTATAAAATGTGTGTGTGAGCATTTTATGGCAGAAGGCTTATAAAAATATCTCAAGCGATTATAATATATAAAAGTTTTATGCAAAGACCCTCAAATGATCAGCAAAAGCATATCTTCAGGATTTAGCTTTAAACAGATTAGCTAAAATTGTTCCAATTTTTTAGCTACAAATTTGTTGCACCTATTGTTATAGTGATAAGTTATATGAGAAAAGGGTAATGAGTGATTTGCAGGGATATAAAAATATATTTATGTAAATCCTATGAATTTATGCATGTTCTAAATATTAAAATATATTCTTGTACATAAAAAAAATAAAATTAGCTGTGTATTTCTTAGCTGAATAAAATAATATATTCATGAGAAAAATTATTTATTTTGTAAAGATTAGTGAATTTTAATTGATTTTTAATTTTAGAAAATTAATTTACCTGAAAGCATTTTTTGAACGTGAGAAATGTGTCATTTCTTGCACAAAATTAATTTGTCCTGAAATATAGAAGAAGAAAAACCACACACTTATACATTTTATTTAATAATAAAGAATGGATTTCTTTTCTATTCAATTAATCTTATTTGCGCAAAATTTGAAATTGTTTGTTTTTATAAAAGAGAATAAAAAGTATTGTTTCTAATAAATTTATTGGCAAAGGGGGATCAAGATTAATTTATTTATCTAAAGAAATCCTAATAATAAATGCATTGACCTGTGTCATGTAAGGTTGGATTGCACAGACTGATATAAGGCAGGATCTCAGTACACAATACTTCAGGTTCCCAGTGATGACCTGAGGAGAAAACAAACCAGATAGGGGGATTTATTAAACGTCATAAGAGCTTTTCAATCAGAAAAAAAGCTGAAAATAAAATTTATGAACCCCTTCAAGCAGGCAGTTATTTTATTTTTATTTATTGTTCATCGTTATATTTTTATTTATTGCTCATACTTCGTACCCGAAGATGACTTGAGTAGTATTTGAATACTGGTCTTGGCTTGAATTGTATAAGGGAGAGTTGCTCAATTTATCAGCCTCACTCTCTCATCCTTGCCTATTTGATCTCATGGCAAGACTTAGTTGTTTGAACTTTCAATATCTTACAACCTATGGGATTCTATCTCCGGGTTTGATTTCAGTTTGCCTTCTCTAAGATGAAATGTCATCCAAGGTTAACCAGTGCTGGTGATGTTTTCTTTTTTGCTTTTGACGTGGAATGAACTTGAGTCCACTACCTTGGGATTGACTCAGTTTAGACCACTCGGCCACCCAACACCGACGAGGCAATAATATAAAATTTGGCCATACCAACTGTTTGTGTACAAAATGTGTTCATAAAAACTAGTAAACTCTTTTCTAACTAAATATACCTTTAAAAAGCTGCCTTGCTGATGTTATGTTTTCAATGGCCTGTCAGAAAAATTGAATTAACAAATTGTTAAACTGAAATTTAATACACCAATCATTTTATTTAATATTCATTCATGTAAATTATTCTCTTTGATTTTCATGACATAAAACAATCCTTTCTAGAGCGGCAAAGTGCAGTATGTTATCTAAGTACTGCTCCACATTTGATGATGGAATTGGGTGTGACAGGGGAAAGTGTATTTTTATTTGGAAGTTTCTTTGACCCATTTGAAGAGGTTTCTTTTTATCAACAACTAATCACTACATCACTGTTTTTTAATCACTGGATAAAATTACATGGGTTCTGGTCATTAATACATTTTACTTATTGATTCTCATTAACAAAACACTTGTCCAATACTAGCGACCAGGTTTTTTTTTAGTTCAACTTAGGAATGGCAGGCTTTCCTCTAGTTAACATGTAAATTATTTGCAAACACACAAAAAAATGTTAACTTAAAAATCTCAAATTGATTAATTTTGTTGCTGTAAATGAAACACAAAAAAGTGAATGAACTTTGAATTTAATATGACGATTAGTCTAATAATGTCTGATTACATCTACAATTTTAGCTGTTTATGGGATGCCTATTTCTCATTGGGAAATGGGTCATAGCAATATCCAAGGTCCTTGTTGGTGGAAAACTATGGATGTTAACTCCCTGCCATCGGTAAAGGTTGCTAAGATTAGACCCCTATAACAGATAAGAAGCCATGGGTCTGAACAAAAAGCCAATTTTGGCATACCTTTTTACTGACATCAAACAACTGAGATTTATGAAGAGGTCGCCAGCCTTGACATTTCCTCACACTGTCATGGCGACTATAGTCTGAGTTAGAGTGAATGAAACCTCGTGTAGCTATTGACAGTGAGTACTTCTGGAGTTCCTCTCTTGCCTACAGGTAAGAAGTCAGACTTAAGAATTTAAAGTAATTTTTAAAAATAATCTAGAAATTGATTCATTTAAATAAAAATTTGTTCTTTGGGTATTCATGTAGCCAACTGCTATATTATTCATCAACATCAAAAAAAATAATTACAAAAAATATGTTTCCTGTTTTTCCTGGCCTTGAACAAAATTGGCCTTTCAAAATCAAGACCCCAAGTGTCTCACCATTTAAAGTTCAGAACTATATTCTTAGGTTAGTACTGTCAGATCGGACAAGTAATGTTCTACTACTTTTCTGCATTATGAAATAATTATTAATATTGTTTCAATTTTTTTTAAAATTTGGCCTCTGACCCTCATATGATGCCTTGAGATTAATCTGTCCAAGAATGTTTAGCAACGGTGAATTGTTACAAGGGTTCTTACTTATACAATCAATCAGATAAAAAATACTGAGTTACATGGATTTATGTTTTAATCCCTGTAAACACCGCGTTCCTTGCCAAATAAGGTCTTTGCAGTTGTTATTTTTCAAAGTCTCAGGGACCTTTACAAAGAATTGATTTCATACACAAAGGTAACATTTTAGAAATCTTGCTATTTTAAAAATGTATTTATTTTATTATTTGGAATGAATTAAAGATCTTTTAGGGCCAGACTGTTTGACACCACTAAGCTAATGTTCTTGACAGGTTAAAAAGTTCTTCAGCTTACCATCCACAAGGTTGAGACATAGTCTGAGTCACTGAAATATTGAGCAGCCCTCTCTAAGTCCTCCATAGAGGACAAAAACTCCACATAGTTCTCATGTAGAAAAGTGGTGAAATATTCACCAGACACATGGGATTGAGAGGCAACATCCTGGTGGATCAAAGAAAATGCAATTTGGAAAATACTGTCAACATTTTCAAAGCAATCATACATAAATTTCTTTTCAAATAAAAAAAAAGTAGTTTTGAAAGTTAGTTTTTTTTTTTTAAATCTGCGTTATTATTTTTATTCTGAATGCTAGATGTGTTGAGTCTTGAAGACAATGCTTGTTAGTTGGAAATGAATTTTAAAAAATTTGGGAAAACCTGAAAAAAGGGCGCAACAAAACAACTAATGTGTCAGCAAGAAGCCTTCTTCAGCTAGCAAACTAACAGTAAAAACAATATAAAACAAAAATACATACAGCTGCAGTGACAGGACAGTAAAGTAGTGCTTGTTAGTTGATAAGATATGAGCTGATATAATAATCAAACAAAAAATTAAACATTGACAGAAATGACAGTAGAAATTAAATAGACAAAACAGCCGTGAAATATTAATGGACTAACCTCTGGATCAACCTTCAAAGGGTCTCTGTCATGGCTCTTCAAATGGTTGGGAAGAGATATTTGTGTGAGCTGTTCATTAGGTTCCCCTCCTATAAATGAACGAAAGCACAACAAAATTAAAGGAAAAATGCAGAGTGGTCAATTAATAACTAAGTACCAGCAGAAAACTCTATTTGCTCTCAAAAAAAAATAAAGCTCAAAATTGGTATAAATTTCACTCTTGCCTCCAAACTATCCAACTTGGTAAATATTTCAAGTCTTGGATGAAAAAAATTGATATATACTCACTTTTAAAATATAGTATTTTGCCAACAGAATGAAACAGAAAAACAGATTTGTCCTTTGCACCAATTACAGATGAATCAGAAGGTGCAGCTCCTTCAAATTCTTGTTTACGACTATTCTTATATTTTAACCTTGTCCCTGAACTCTTGAGTTTATTCTTAGATTCGGATGAGATTTGAGGAAATGTTGAAAGATCTTTGGTGTCTTTGGAAGCAAAAAAACCCAAAAAACAGAGAAAATTAATATTTAAAATTCATTTATGGATACAATTTTAAATAAATACAATAAACAATCAAAATGGTTATTAATGAGTTATTGGACGGCCTGACATTAACTTTAACTTATTCCCTCCTGCAATGCTACTTCCGTATTTAATTTATTTGCCTGAGAAAGGGAAGTAACTCCGTCTTGAAATTGATTTCCATTTGTAAAATATTGATTTAAGCTGCTAAATATTATTTAATGTTAACGAATTAAGAACAAGTGCAACAAAGAATGAATAAGGTTTAATATAAATATAACATTAGCAGTGAAAAAATAACGAACAATGGCCAAAAAAATCGATTTTCGGCACCTCGGACGAACACATGCGCCGTACTGAAGTACACATAGTTTTAAAGTGAAACAAGATAAAAACTTCCGGTTTTTAAATTAAAATCACGCTGAACCACGCCATCACCGGAAGTCTCGAGGGATGTGAGATTTCATTGCTATTTTTAAATAGATATGAGAGAGGTGTGTCGCTATGCGCCGGGACGCATTTGGACGCATCCGGCGAAACCCGTAAAAGACGCATTTAGTCGCAAACGTCGGGAATGAGTTAAAGACAGGATTTACTAATCGGCTGTAAGTTAAAAAAGAATACAAATTATAATTCAAAATGTTCCGCTAACCTTGTCTGCAAGCAAACTGCAGTGTATTTAGTGCAGATCTGATGTCCCCATTACTTGACATGGCAATAGCTTCTATAACTGTCACTCTTGGAGAGGAGAGCATGCTCTGCAAGCAAATTAATAATGTCCTTTTGAATTTGACAAAGTTAACTCAGGAAGCAATAGATATATTGAGAAGTAGAAACAATGTATTTATTTAAAGTGATTATTTTCTTTCCTTTTATTTAAAAAAAAAAGAAATACATTTTTGATTTATTCTGCAAGCTTTAACAGACCATTTCTAATTCCACGCCAAGTTGGCTGCTGTCTTCCGACTTTGATGGTTGAGGTATTATCCTCAGGTTTACCTCCTCCATAAGAATAGTTACTTTACTTGGCCAATGAGTCCATTCCAGCCAGCTATTTGACCTACATCTACATTACTGCTGTGAATTAAAAGCTTCATAAAACAAAATGGACCAGTGCATTACTAACCTCTCCCAACTCCTTACTGGTAACTTTGGTCAAAACTTTGGTGAGCATTGTTGGGGCCACAGGATTAAAACTGATGGGGAAATAAAAACATTTGTTTGTTGCTGTAACAGAAAAGAAAATACTACAGAACAAATTGTCCATAGTTTTTACTAACTGCATTAATTGCCAGTTTTCATAACATTACATGATGTTATATCACTTAAATTGTACTCTAATTATTGTGCTTCATTATAATCTAAGGTCCCCACAATAAATAAGCAATACTGTCCCTTACCTTATATTAGTGATACCAAGATGAAGCTGGAGGTCTTTAGGAAACAACTTTTGAATGCTGACAGAGTTACTGTTGGATTCACTCATTATAAACACAAGTGGGCTTTTACCACAGGAATGATATTTTCTGGAAACAAATCGTTTGAAAAAAAAAATTAACGTAAAAGAGCTTGACCTAAGTTATTTTTGAACAAAATTCTAAGAGTTCTTGTCTTTAACAACAAAATTTAACAATTTGAACAATGTATAAATTAAGTTTCTGAAGATAGAAATAAGATTGTGTTGTGTATTTAAGTCTTTTATTGCTGTGTTGTGTATTTAAGTCTTTTATTGCTGATTAAAATGTTTTTTGCAAGTCAAGCTATAGCTAAAACTGGCAAAGATACCTGAGAATATTGTGGAATTGGGCTGAGTCTCTGAAAAATAGATTGGGCAGGTCCTCAACTAAGATAACAGTATTTGATGTTGTGCCAATGGATAAGGACTGCTTGTTTGTAGCTGGTCCAAACAAGTCCAGTGCTCTGTACTTGTTAGCTCTGAGCAGGAAGTTGTGGAAGAGAGAACTCTGGGACTGACTCATGTAGGTGTCCACACTGGATCTCTCTAGATAAATATTCAGTTGAATACCGTAGTACAGTTATGAATGTCAAACTTGACACAAAGCTGCTAAACTACTTCAATATTATATCAAAAAGATTTATCACCAAAAGTTTTCATGTTGTCTTGTTTTCAAATATTTTTGTTAATTAATCTGCTATGTAAAAATAATGCACACACAAATTATTCAAATACCAAGAAAATTAAAAGAGATCACCAGAAAATTTTTAGTCACTCCATTATTGTTACAAAAGATTGTGTTTAAAATTTTTAGAAGGCTTCAGCAAAATTTCAGAAATTAACTCACTAACCTGAGCTATTAAATTCTTTGTTCGACCATTGGTCCGCTGCTAGTTCTGAATTGTTGGTCCATTCTTGTATGCTCAGACCTAACTCAGCACATAACAACTGCAAACAAACTGACTTTCCAGCACCAGGGGGTCCTGTCAATAGCAAAATTGGGGCTGACCTCTAATGAAAGAAGAAATAAAAAACACTATTTAATTTGAAAAACTTGTAGGGGAGGTAACTAATTCTAAGCAAATTTTGTCTTAAGACAATCAGTTATTTTCACTTCTTTTCCAGCTGAAAAACATCTGTATTTCAAGGTTTCTTTTTTGACAGCCACGAACATTCCCTAAATTTACAATGCCTTACTTGGCTTTAATTTTAGAATTTTTTTTTATACAATATGAAATTTTGTTCTATTTAGTGACTCCAAACAAATGGCTTAATTGCTATTTTACTACATTTCTATTTATTGGTGAAACAGATCCCAGATTTTATGCCAACTTTGTGCTTGGCAGTATATTTTTTTTAAATCAACCTAATGAAATTTTAAGAATTGGTTCAACCTTTTGTAATATAATATTTATATTCTTTCATTTCCTGTAATCCTACTTCTGGCAACAACAAAGGAATCTCTAAAGTTTTTTACTGTGCTATGTTACTTGTCTTAGTTATATTTTTCTTGTTTGCTGAAGAAGGCTCTAAGGCGAAATCTTATTGTCCTGTCTATTACTTCAAGTTTAGCATATCTTGTTCTTACATTTATTTTGAAATATGAGGCTTAAGTTACCTTAAGGTTGCCAGATGACTTCAATTTTAACCAGTCTGCAACTTCCTCCACTTTCTTTTTATGTACAGCCAGATCAAACTACAGATTACGTTAAATTGAAATAGAAATGACTTTAAAGATCTAAGAAAAATTTACACAAACAAAATGAAATAGTGGTTAATAATAAAAAAAATGAAAAACATAATTGATTTATTTTTTTAATTAATATGTATTTTTTATTCTAAATTATTTGATGAAGTTTTGGTTAGTAATATAAATGTGTCTTTATAGTGAAAAGAGCTGCTTCTTATGTTTATAAGATAGTGTAAAATTTGATATTTTGCCCATTGATATTTAAACATTTGACCTGTCAGTTGTGAATTATGTTAAGCTGTAAAACTATTTCACAATTCATGTGACATAAATTGTATTTACTCACTCTAGTGGATGGCCTATATTTCTCTGACCAAAGTTCAGTGCCAACTGCAGTCTTTAGTGATGATTTCCTTGTCATCTCAGTTTGACTGTTTTGCTGTTGAACAGCCTGTCTTGGTCGTTTTCTTGAAAGCCTTTCATTTGTAAAAGCAGAAATAATGCTTTGCTGACTGCCTGAGAAATAAAAATTAAAGAAAACTTTAATTTTTTTTTAAAGGTTAACATAAGAAATATTGCGTTTAATGACCAAACCTTGCAGACAAGCAGTATTTCTATATAAGCCAACTGATATTATTTTCCTACCTTAGTACGTGGTCTTAACGCTTTCTAATATGTACATCCTGCTGGTGATTTTGTACACTATTTTGTACCTTGTTTTCCCTGATTATTCAAAACAAAACAAAAATAAAATCTGGTGTTCAAAATGGTGTAGTTGATTGGAACTTTATATAACTTCCTATGTGCAGTTCCAAATTGGTCAAAACAGAGCTCAAAGTCTATTGGTGTGCTCAACATGAACTATGGTTGATGACTGAGAGATCGTCTAAAAATATCTATTTGAGTACAGTTTACCATTTACCACTTACTAACTCACATTCGGGGAAGGGGGGAGGGGGGGTCTTGAGCGTATACTCTTAAAATCCTCGGCTAGTACAACGGCAAACCGCTCCCTCTGTTGGGCAGTGATATATAACATTATCTGTACATAGTACTCTCCTATCGCCCCTGGCCTCCCCAACAACAACTGGCATGGAGCACGAAGTCAGTAGATGCGCTTCTGTCTCTGGGACAGCATTCAATGGAGGCAGGTTGGTTTCCTGTTTATCACCACACTTCACATGTATTTGGCTATCGTGGGAATTATTCAAGGATAGACAACCTAAAGGATCAGCATGGTAACACTTTAATTAAACATAATGACCACTCAACTTTTTTTAAAACTATAACAAGTAATACGGTGCCTAAAATTATCACTTTATTTTTTAATACATATTTTAATATAATTATATTGTTAATGATACCATTAGGCAGGTCTAGTGGTAAAACCTGTTTTTCACTAATGTCATTTTGAATATTGAGCTTCATTATTTAGATAAATCCTGAAACTCAAAGCAGAGTTACTTGTTATTTTGAATGTTGATGCCTGTAGGGATTTTATTTCTTTTGTGTATTTATTATATTACCTATCCGGAATCTTTGAATTAAATGGCTGCATCTAACTTTAAGTTAGAGAATTGGAGCGGGTAGTTTTTAACTGAATGGATTAAAGAATTCCCTGGGAGTATTGAGGCATCATAATAGAGCATCTCAAAGAGTTTTGAAAAATTTGTGTCTAATCCTTAGGCTTCTTAGATCATAAATTACTCTTTACATCTCTCCACTGTTATAGTAATAAAACTTTTGTGGATCTTATTTCACTGCAATGGAGACTAAAAGCAATTATTTCTATGCTTAAAAAAATACAAACCTACTGTAAAAACAGATTCAATGGCGATAAAAATCGGTAATATAAAAACAGACACTTGTTGATTAAGATATTTAATAGACATAAAATGGACAAAGAATGCTAGTATGCAACAACAACAAAAAGTAATTACAGACACAAAAATAAAAAAATTTCAGCTTTTCATTTTTGTGTACAGGTTTTTTTTTAATTTGTGTACATGGTTTTTGAAATTCTATGTACTAGGTTTTGGGAAGCTGGCTTAACAAAGATTTCTCTTCTCTTCCTTGGTCAAGCTATTAAAGCTGCTTGATTCTTCAATGTCTTACAATAGGAGAGAGATTTTGTCCATTTTAGCATGTGTAAAATGTCCTGTAAAATGTTGATTAGAAATGGTTGCCTCATTTTAAAGATAGTCTAAGGTAAGCAAACAAGGAAAGGGAATAAAATGCGATTTCAAATTTTCAACTTCAGAGTGCGTGTTATTAAGTTTTTGCCATCAATGATATTTGATGACTAATTGTGTCCTTCATTTCTTCATGATTAGTGTTGTAGTTACCTTGAGAGATGTTTTTTCCATATGGATCTGATCTGGAACTCACACTTTGCTTTAATGTATTTGATGTTTTTTTCAACACTGATGTGGCAGGCCCAAGATCATCAAAGGAAGATGAGACCCAAGTCATTTCCTTCTGAAAATAGGATAGTATTAGTTAGTCATTATTATCCTAAATTAATTTTGTTGTTTTCAAGGATACTATAATCAGTTTACAATAGTTGAAATATGTATACATGACATACTTCCACCTTTGCAAGACGATGGAGTAGCTATCGACACTTCATCAAATGGCTTACTAGGTTGATCCTGGAATGACAGTCTCGGCTGCATTTCTTGCAGATCCTTGACTCCTGATAAATTTGGCCTTCTGTAATACTCTTTTTGTTGCAAGGGCTTCATTTCACGCATCTTTTGGCTTATCAACTCCTTCATACACTGCTGTTTGCCAGCTGAGATGGTTCTCATCGATGATGTCCCATTCGTTGATTTCTATGTTGGCTTCCCTCATGCTCCTTTTGCAAATGTCCTTAAATAGCATGTTCCAAAACCTCTGTGTTAGGCATCTTGTCCTGCCATTGAAGGCATAAAATGTGAAGCAGACATATTTGATGGGAGATATTGAGTTTTCGCTCATGTCAGGCATATGTGGTCCACACTTCACTGCCACATAGGAACATACTAAGCATACATGCATAATAGACACTTAATTTTGTACTATCAGTTAGTTTAAGATTATTCCACACCTACTTATTCAATTTTTGCGATCATGATGTTCACCAGAGTGAACTAGAGATTTTGGATCCAAGGTATAAGAAATGCTCAACAACCAACAGATTGTAGCCCTCAGTAGATATTATTGGAGGGGATGGTGCTTCTTGCATCATGACATGTGTTTTCTATGGACTAATTGACAGTCCAAACTCTATACAAGCATGTGATAGACGATTAACTAGTCGCTGAAGACCTTCTTCTGTGTGAGATGTTAAGGCGGCACATTCAGCGAGCAGCAGTTCATGAATTAGTACCTTTTTTTACCCTGGTCTTTGCATGTATGGCATCTTTCCGTCTGTGGGAGACGATAGATTATCTTTATGGCTTGCAGCTCTTGGTGTGGCTGGTGAGACCAATCCTCGAATGGCAGTCTCTGTTGCATTTCCCACACACGAATGCGGTGGAGCAGTATTTACCGGCCTTCCTCCTCGCTCTTTTTGCAGCTGTTTCCGCCCTGTTTTGCTCCTCGGCATGTAGTGATCCTGCCTTCACGATGCCCCGCCACGAGGATCGATCCTCTGCCAGCTCCTCCCAGTTTAGGATGTCGACGTTGGCCGACTTCATGCTTCTTTTGCATATGTCTAAGTATCTCAGGCGAGGTCGTCCAACTGACCTTTTCCCTGTTGCCAGCTTGCTGTATAGCACGTCCTTTGGTATGCGACCAGGTTGCATTCGCTTGATGTGTCCAAGCCAGCGGAGGCGTCTTTGGATTAACATGGCTGGGACGCTACACGTTTGTTTGGGACAGGACATCCGTGTTGGGGACTTTGTCTTGCCATTTAATGTCAAGGATGTGGCGCAAGCATCTGAGCTGGAAGTCATTGAGCCTTCTTTCGTGGTTAGAGTATGTGGTCCACGACTCGCATCCATACAGGAGTGTGCTCACTACGCAGGCCTGGTACACCTGCAGCTTAGTTCTTGTTGTGAGTTTGGTGTTTGATCAGACTCTTTTCTTCAGTCTGGCCATAACAGTTGCGGCCTTCCCTATCCTTCCACTTATCTCATCCTCCATTGAGAGGGTGCTCGATATTTTGGATCCCAGATATGTGGATCTGTCAACAGTATCCAAGTCATAGTCGTCGATGGCGATAGTGGGGAGGGAGTCAGCGCCCTGCCCCATAATGTTAGTTTTCTTTAGGCTAATTGTCAGGCCAAACTCTTTGCAGGCAGCGGATAGGCTGGATACGAGGCTCTGCAGGCCGTCTGCTGTGTGAGATACCAAAGCGGCATCGTCCGCAAACAAGAACTCCCGCAGCAAGACCTTTCTTGTTTTAGTCTTAGCTCTAAGGCGGGCAATGTTGAATAATTTGCCGTCATCTCTAGTGTGGATGTATATCCCCTCGGTGTTGGTCTTTGCATGAAGGTGGGCAATATTGAACAGAGATCTGGTATGGACGTACACTCCATCTTCACAGTCCCTGAAGGAAAATTGAAGGAGCATCTAGAAGAAAATGCATTTTTGCCAATACACAACCTTGTTTTACTCCGCTGCTGACTAGGAATGGAGATTGCTATGCTGAAATATTTAAGTGAAATGACTGTATGATAGTGAGCAGTCGTGGGGGGAAAAACCTATTCTATTCAAGATATTGAACAGCCCACTCAAACTTACCAAGTCAAATGCCTTGGTCAGATCTACGAAAGCAATGTAAAGAGGCCTATGCTGATCATGATACTTCTCATGGAGAATATCATGTCTTCAGTTGAACGACCACTTCGGAGGGCACACTGGGCCTATGAGTAGATGCGGTTAGCCAGATTCTGCAATCGTTTAAGGGCGACATGGCCAAACGTCTTTCAGACTAAGCCAAGAATAGAAATTCCTCAGTTATTATTATCACCTTTATTTGTGTACAATGTTGGCATCTCTTATGTCCTGGGCATATGTAGTTCAAATATAACTAAAGTTACAATTTTTTAAAATATGCTATAAAGGTGGGTGAGGGAGAGACTAAAATATATTAATAATAGTAAGAGTGAAATTCAAATTTTTTTAAAGCTCCATCATTTTTATTTTTAAGATGTCTTTGATCAAGTACTGAATAAATTTCAATTTTATTTATAATGAGAATAATTTTCTTTACTTCTTACTTCCAAACAATAAAGGTTTGAGGGAGAGTGCAATACTTTTTGTCCTAAATTTATTAATCCATTTAATTTATTTTAAGACTTTTCAAAATTGGATGTTTCAAATATAAAACATGATATAATAGGTGATTAAGATTCAGATTTCATCAAATTATTTCAATTTTAGAAACTAATCATACATAGATTTAACTTCAGTGATGTGTGGAAAGATATTGAGCAATGATGAAGCTCATACTTTATAAATTCCCTGCACAGACAACTGGTTCCATATTTGACAATGCCTAATGCATATGAATGACAGACACGTTTACCTACTATAAAAATTGTCATTTATATGCATGTTTTTAGTGTGTACTCAGCAACCCCGCCATAATCAGACCAGTTAATGACCGAACTAGCTAAAAGACCACATCAGAGAGGACTGGCATAACTGTTTAGCAGCAGACGCAAACAGCATGTAAGCTTTATCAGAACATGAAGCAAGAGAGCAAGAGTGATCCTTGGTGGAGACCTAAGAGCAGCCATCAGTCTCATGACTAAGAAGAGAACCAAGCATTGTCCTAGTCATAGTTAAAGCCATAGACTAAATTCTCTAATGGACTCAAACTACCGCCACTGTGACCAAGCGCCCTAGACAATTATGCACTTACTAGACAAAGGCCCAGCGCTCTCCTTTCTGCAGAATTCTTTAAATATTTAAGGGGTCCAAAGCTGTTATAAGGAAAAATTATGTGCAGGAACACATAACCAAAAGAAGCAGGGAGCCTCCAAAAGTCATCCAACCATTCTGCAAGTTCCATATATTGTGAAATGGAGGAGGAGCTGGGCTCCAAAATCCATGTTAATAGTTTGATTTAGGGTAATCCCAACAGATGTGGCTCTTATGTGTTGTACTGTCTGGGGCTAAATAAGCAAATAGCTTGGCCCCAAATGAGAATGAATGTTAATCAGTGCCTACACCTACACAGCCCTTGATTGGTCCTTATCTAAGTTTTCAATAGAGATCTTAGTAATGACTATGTATCTGCTAATGTAATTAGCAAATTTTAGTCTGCATTCATTGTCATGTATGACATAGGTAGAGTTTAAGAAACAATTTGAGTGAGTGAAATCATTTTTGTTTAACTGATGAAAAGTGTTGGTAAGGTTTTAGTCACATAAAGTAAAGTGATAAACAAACAATAGGTCTAAATTTGTGAATCACAAAATATAAATAGAGTAAAAGACAAGTAAAAGTGTCACTTGTTTGAATGTTAATAGGTGCTTGGATAAATCATTTTTCAGTAAGTGACAAATAATTGTGAAAAATAATTGCAGAGTTACGTGCCCCTTGTTCAACTCTTGTTCACTAGAAAATGTAAAATAAACATTGCATATGCAATGGGGAAAAATACGGTTTGTGGTCATTTCTTTGTTAAATATGTTGTGTGCTTATCCTTTTAAAGAGAATAGGATGCTGAACAATTCTGTGTTTTACCATTTTTGATCAAGCTATTGTTTTTTGCAACAATATATCAAGTTGAATTATGCTAAGTCTACTATTTAATTTCTTGTACATTCTCCACCAGTAATGCTTTTCATGATAAATTATAACCACTGTTAAAAGAATCCAAATTATCGACAAGAATAGGTAAATATATTTTCCTCCACCCTACCACAACAATTTTATTAAAGTAAAGTTTCAAAACAGTGACCACTTCAATTGTATTTGTATATGCTGACTACATTTCCTCCAACAGGGATACCAAGCAGGAGTGGCAACTCTCTAAAAAATTCTCTACCCGAAGTCTACCCAGTTTTTATTTTATTCACTTTTTTATTTTCTCATATTTATATGTCTCAATTAACAGGGTAAGAATAGTAAAACTAGTAAGATTTATACCAAAATATATTAGGATAACTTCCAAAATAATTCTCGAAAAAAATCTAAATCATAACTTTCTTTAGTCTTTAGAACTGACTTAAATGCTACAAATTCATAAATATGGCATAATAACTTTCTTTACTCTTTATAATTGACATAAAATAGCAATGAAACGACCATAAATGATAAAATATGGAATATGGTATCAAATCAATCAACGATCAATGCACTATCAGTCTCTAGAAGTTGTACTCCTCTACACTACCAATACAAACTGCACGGCCATATACTTGAGCCAGTTTCCTCCGTAAAGTACCTGGGTGTTACCATTCAAAGAGAGGTCCGCTGGGACGAGCATATTAACAATGTATGTAACCAAGCAAACAAGACCCTAGGGTTCTTAAGGCGAAATCTAAAGATTGGCAACTCCTGTGTGAAAGAAAGAGCATATAAAGCCTTTATCCGTCCGATTTTAGATTATACATCTTCAGTCTGGGACCCATTTACCCAGAAGAGCATTGACAGGTTGGAGGCTGTCCAGCGACGAGCAGCACGCTTTGTCCTAAACCGCTACAGGAATACCTCTAGTGTTGGCAGCATGCTAGAAACACTAGGCTGGTCAACATTGGAGAAACGACGACGACAATCCAGGCTCTCCATGATGTACAAGATAAATAATGGGCTGGTCCACTGTTCCAGTATTAAACAGAAACTCGTCCCTCTCCCCCATAGACAGCGACGAGGCCATGATACGACGACGACAATCCAGGCTCTCCATGATGTACAAGATAAATAATGGGCTGGTCCACTGTTCCAGTATTAAACAGAAACTCGTCCCTCTCCCCCATAGACAGCGACGAGGCCATGACAGGCAATTCAGGCTCATACCAGCAAGAAGCCAGAATAGGAGCTGCTCATTCCTGCCCAAGACAATCAGGGACTGGAACAATCTTTCAAAAGGAACGGTTGAGGCGACAACACTAGACACATTTGTGTCTATTGCCTCCAGCCTTCAAACCCCTAGTGCATGATTTCCTCATCAACACCAGTAACAGAAACATTGCAAATCCCATCTACATGCATAGGAGCCAAAATGATCAATAAATTGATCGTGGGCCCTTAAGATATAGAAGAAGAAGAGATGCTATGACGCCATTTGCGTGTTTATAAAAGAGCCAAGTTGCCATGAATTAGGGTTCAGGTTAGGTTTGGGGATACATTTACTTAGATTTAGTGACAGAATTAACTGGTCTTGTCAACCAAGATGGCGGCCATTGGGAAATAAAAAAACATGGCATCTCTTCTTTGCATTTTTGATTTACCCAATCAACTGATTTTTTTAAGTCCTATTTAAATAACTAGGTCTTACTGTAACTTCATTTTGATTTTGTAACTTTCCTCCAAGTGCCAGTACCAGTCCATTGGCATTGTTACTGTACACTGTACTGTTGCCATTAATGATTAGTGACACAATTAGTGCTTTGGCTTTAAACCCCTAGCTTTAGTCTTTACTTGTCTTTAGTCACTTTATTATTTAGTTTAGAGTTTAGTGTTACTGTTAGTAGTGTTAGTATAACTAATAAGTTTAACAGGTAAAACACTAATAACTAATAATACCACTAATAAAAATAGATCTCATCTGGTTAGTTACGAATTACGAGTTAAGTCTTGGTACTTATAAAATAAGTTACTCACCATTTTCCCTCTCTTTTCAACTACCTTTACTATTTGAATGTCATCATCAGACATTCTTATATATTTAATAATCAATAAGTTTTATGTATTTATTATCATGTCATGTTTAGGCTTCAATGATTTATCATGTGAGCTGCTCCAAAAGTTTGATGAGTTGTTTTTTTTAAAGAATTGTAATTTTAGAAAAATATTTGCCTTACGTCCCTTGATTGTTACCAAAAAAAATTAACTTTTGGACTATTTGTACACAAATCTAAATATGGAAAAGAAATTTTAAACAACTGAAAATAATTGAAATAATTGACTTCAATTTTTTAAACAAATTTTTATACACTTTGAATTTAGAAATATTTTATAAGAGCAGATTTATTTGACAAATTCAATTAAAATTGTTTCTTATTTAGTTATAAAATAGCAACTTTTACATTATTAAACCTTTGAACTAGCTAAAGGCTGTCAATGTAAACAACTGCGCCAAATTTAAACAATGAAGAAAGAACAATAAATTCAATGTTAATCTATATTAATATTTAACAAACGATGGGAAAGAAGTATTTTAATGTTATTGATATAGTAATTATTTTTATTTCGCTTATCACTTTTATTTTGGATGTCAGTACAGGTAGGTTTGATTAGAATTAGTCAGTGAGTAGTGAGTACAAATTAACAATTATTTTTGTGGTCAGTGAGTAGAGAACTCTTCTGTCTGTGACTGTGACACTGTCCTTTGAGCCGTTTTCTTAATAAAAATTATTGATGTAATGATAATTTGAATGAATATTATAGTTATATTTCTTAATGCCTGGATATCAGATGCAATCAATCTTTTGTTACTAGTTATATTATTAGGGGCCATCCATAAATGAAAATGCAAATTTTTCATATTTTTGACCCAACTCAACCCCCCCCCCCAATCATCACAAAAAGTTA